AAAATCATTCAGAAGCTGTTATATTCCACACTGAAGACGTTCATCCAATTAGAATTTATTGTTATTGTAAATTCGTTTAGTCTCCGAATTATCATGAATGTAACAAAATACTTTTTCGGATTTTCAAATGTAAGAAAATTTTAAGACTACTGGTATTTTATTTAAAAATTGATCTCCTATTGGCAGTAACATTTAGTCGTTTTCTTCAAGATGAGACACGTTTCTACCTATGGATACTGGAAATATTATTGACGGAATTTGAGGAGAACAGAAACTACAAAGAAACTGTTGCTATTTAGTAAAAAAATATTCGAAATTTATTTGGAGCATATTGAGGAAAGAAAGCTTGGAGAATTTAACACGCATAAGACAGATTAAAGGAGAGCGATGCTGGGGGAATTTACATGTGGTGATATGCAAATGAGTTTGTATATATGTGGGAAGATTTATACATTTGGGAGTTATTTCTTTTTCATTCACTACATTGTATACTTGTGAGAAGAACTACATGACACAACATGATATTTAACGAGTTTGCATGAAATAATGACAGACCAAGTACAAAATGGGAAATATGAAGAAGAGCCAAAAACTAACAGGAAATTGTGGTCAGACATTCTCTCTCAGTTTCTGAAAGGAAATGGTGTATCAAAGAAGATATGATTATTTCAAGTAATTCTACTCAAAAAGAGCGATGATAAATGATATTGTGTGGCTTCTCAATTACTCGATTAGTGGACAGTAATTATAGCCGAACTTTTCTAAATTGAGCTCCTGCTGACGTATTAAATTTCGTCGTTGCTATTTTTACGACATACGGACTGAATATGTGGTTTGCAAGATTTTTAGCTGTATTTTTAAACTTTATCATTTCTTTCATATACAAAGTTTGCAATTTTCAATAATTCCTTTCGTTTGCTGTCTATCGCATACCATTTCCTACTAATTTCGCTATTTTCCTTCAGCAATTTCTTATCATAGCTTTATCTCTCCTTTGTTTGAGTTTGTCATTTTCGGGAGAGGCATCTGCGAAGTGTCTTCCAGCTTTTGAAGGTTGTCCTGATATGAACCGCAAATCTTTTGTATTTTCTCCGATAACCCCTTTACATAAGGCTGGCAGATTCTTTTCTGAGTGTTGTTGTCCTCTTGAACCCGCCTATCCCAGTTTATTGGTATTAGTGCCATGTACCCAGGGTAGATGTTACCTTGCAGGCTACTTCTTACACTGACCAATTCCTTATCTATGTCTCTGGGTCGCCACTTATGACGTTTGCTTGGTGTTGTAAACAGAGATCGATCCTTTTTCTTTAAGCTTATGGATGATGGGAGTTGAAATCGAGGTACTACCCGGTGAATGTTGATTTACGGTATACGGATGTATTGAACCCATGCTCTGTTCGAGATATTCGAACATCCATGTATGGGAGTGCGTTCTAACTCACTTTCCCCATCATGAACTGTATTGAAGGTCCTATTGTGTTCACATGGTCCAGATAGAACCTGGGCTTCTTCCTAGTGGGGTCAGAGAATGAAGGTATCATTTACGTATCTTAACCATAGAGTTCGCCTTAGAGATATAGATTCTAATGCCATTTCTTCAAAACATTCCATGTACATATTCAGCATTGTTGGTGATAATGGCGAACCCCTTCCTGTCAATATCTGATTGATCCCATTCCGAAATTTGCTGTTTGTCTACAGAACTTTAACATCTTCATCAGATTACCTATTGGAATACTGGTCCGTTCTCTTAGTGATGAGTCAGAGGCCAGTCTGACTCTGACTACTGAGACTTCCTTCTCCATGGTCACATTTGTGAACAAACCCACCCCATCCAAGCTCACCGTTTTCTTGGCTAGCGTGGGGGCATCTTTGATTATTTCCACGAATTTGGTGGATTTTCGGATATATGAAATTGATTTTCGATCAATGAGTAAATTATATCTACAAGGAAGCGATTCAGAAAATGGCACACAGAGCTTTGGCAACTAACAATCTGTCTGAGCGGAATCTTATGGAGACCGTATATGTGAGGTAGCTTTGTGTAACGCTGCGACAACTATATGCCTATATGTTAGGTGCGAAATGATTCCAAACATATCACTCTATGATCCCCCCAAAAAAACACATCACATATATTATTGTTATGATCCGGCTTTTTGTACCACGGTAGAACCAATAAAGAACACGAACACGTATGTGGAATAAAACAGATATATTACAAACAGGAATATATACAGAGAAGTAGGAAGTGTTATTACGAACAATCAGGTTTAGTAGTAATTGTCTGAACGTGATTCTGTTTCGGACTGCCTCTGACTCGACTCACTGACTCGCTCCTAACGGACCTCACCTCAGACTTCAGACTGAACGGTATTTAGTCACCCTCCGCCACGAGGGCATCATGTGGCACAAGACCGGTTTAACGTGGGATCTCCGAGCCCGTGGGGTCTGCCAAAAATATGCCCTTTGAACCCGTATAAACGGGTTCAGGGTCGGTTTACCTCCCCGAAAGAGACACGCCCTTCGGCGTAGGCTCGTTCGGGTTCCTCCCCGCCCGAAGGCAGAGAGTTCAACCGATCAGCCGGACGTCCGATTTCAAATTGAACTCTTTGCTTCCTCTTGAGGCGCAGTATTTATTACGTATGGAATAGTCCATTATGTTATTATGGGTAAGGTCCCATAACAATTATCCACAATAAAAAGTTTAAAACATCTAATATAATTATTAACAAAACCAGGTATAATAAAACTCCCTATGAAAAATAATATTGTCTCTAAATTCTCATACCCTCTGGAAGAATGCAAATCCAACACTAATAATCAAATATTATTATTAAATACTTACATTGGGAATCAATAATTCTCACAGATTGACCTGTCACCTGTCGAAATTTAATGCAATATGTGCAGGCATCGGCCAGTATAATATGAAGTACCAAATCACATTTATCAATGTAAAAAATACTAGAAACCTTCAAAATATTCTCCAGCACAAAAAGCAAAGAAAGACTCGAAACTTTATATAAAATAAACAGCCTAGACTAAATGAAATATATTTTCTCCACGGGACAAGATATATTAAAGTGTATATTATTTAATTAATGTGCGTACACTGTGTATTATATTTTATTATAATAGAACAAAGCCGCAATAATTACAGGGGAAAGGTGACGCTAGAATATTTCAAGCGCTCAGCTTCTAAAAGAATACAAGAATAGAGACGAAAGAATTCTAACACACAGTCACGACATCAGTCCTGGGCCTTTGACTGCGAAATTCAAAAGTACTTGAAGAATTGTAACAAAATATGAACTTCAGACTGTTGATCCACAACCATGAGAACAATACTCAACAGCATATTCTATTCTAAAATTGGAAAACCACAATTAAAAATATAAAAGACTCATTGTCGCTTTTCATATATATATATATATATATATATATATATATATATATATATAGAAATATAGTCTTAAGGTGTGCTATATTTATGGAATAAAGTGCTCAATATCAGAGATAGAGCGTGTGTAAATATAAAAGTAAATATAAAAGTGGCCTGACGATTGCATATATCATGAAACAGACTGTCGCCTCTAAGTGTTGACTTCTATGTTCACTTTTATATTTATATATATTGGGCGCGCGCGCGAGTTCACGGTTTGCACCCCCCTTCCTTTCTCTTTCAGACAGACATAGCAGTAAGCCATTCTTTTGTTGTTGACTTCAAGCTACCTGCTGCTCCTGATATTATGCAAACTAGAATTTGAAATCTTCCCGCGAAATTTCTTTGACGTCACGAACAAACTGGTTTTTCGAAGTTAGTCGTGGTACAGACACTGAACCAAGCAGTTTGACTCATTTATCCCTCGTCTGTCAACTATAGTACAGACAGGGATATCTTACTGACGAACAGATATTCTTCGTTCCTTTGGCTCGTCGCAAAATAATTTTCTTCAAGACGATGCAACTATCGGCCACCTTTTTCCTCGACTTAAGACTAACTCCTTAGAAGAACTTCCTCCTGTTTTCTATCAGGGAAACTTAGTACGTACGTCTTTGTCATCACAACACACTTTGGATGACTAGAATTTTCTCGTCGAGTGACTAACGTCTTGTCCGAATCTGCTTTTTTTCATTAACAAGGGAACAGAACTTTTCATATTCGTTGAACTCTAATCTGCTTTGAACCAGTACCTTAAAAATATACATAACATTACACTCACACTAACAAAAACTCGCAGTGAGTATTTTTCTTTGTTGTATGTATAATATTTCGTGTAAATTGACTTTTCTGGAACCTTCTTCCTCAAGAACTTTTCCCGCCTTAGCCATCTTGCTTTTCGGTTTTGGCGCGGAACATTTTCCTTGATCTCGTACCTCGAGATAATCTACTTGTTTTTCCATTAAATAAAAAAAAAATTACACTTGTTTTGAATCCAGTCGTTTTCTGTCATTCTGTGCAGGCTATCTTATTAACATTTTTAATATATGCACGTGTGGACCATAAACACATTCCTTCTCTTTTCGTTCACGCATTTTTTTTTATATATTGCTTGTGGACTCGGTAGCTTAGTGTGGTGTCTGGCACAAGGCCACTTTGTAATAAACCAGCACTGCACTCTACTGGGTCTGCAACAACTTTGGTGACCCGAGACGTGAATTGAACACGCAATAAGATTGGCAACCTTGCCAACATAATTCTGAGCAATCTGAAATCTAAACGTGCATAAATTAGATAGCCAGAATGACGTCTAGTGACACTGAAGACTTGCCGTCGCTCCATTTACCCCCTTTCACGAATGGAACATTAAGAACTGGTTCCTGCAAATGGAAGCTATTTTTACTGTCAGAAGAATTACAGACCAAAAAAAACAACAAAGTTTGGCCACGTGGTGGCGGTTTTGCCACCCGCCATTGTGGACGAAGTATCTGACTTTCTAGAAACCGTCCCTGAGGTGGAACCGTACGCCCGATTAAAAGAAGCTATCTTAAGAAGAATGGGCCGTACGGTGGAAACATTAATCCGTGAATTATTCATTAACTTAACTTGCGATGGCAGGACTCCCTCGCAACTCCTTCGTTTTATGAAAAGTCGACTCGGTAAAAACACTATGGCTGACTCGATTTTAAAATGTCTGTGGCTGGATCGCCTCCCCACCACCATTACCCAAATTTTGGCGCCTATGTCTGAGAACACCCCGATCGATCAGTTAGCGAACGCCGCTGATCGTATTTTCTCTCAACTGGATCACCAAACAACGCCAGTACACAGTGCTGAAGCAACTAGTGACCACAGGTCCTTAGAGAAAACTGGAATATTTACAGCGCCAAGTTAGAGATTTGACATTAGCACTAAAAAGCCATGGTCGAAGCCGGTTCCCTTCCCGCCGGCGTTTCAGGAGTCGACCACGCTCGTCCAGTCGGAACAAGGATGTCCCTTCTACTATGTGTTATTACCACCGCAGATTTGGGTCTGCAGCACATTACTGCACCAAGCCGTGCACCTATACTGCGGTCGCGGAAAACGAGACCGCCAGCGAGTGAAAGCGACTGACCTCGCTGGCAAGGCATCTTCCCCGAAGCTTAGTCGCCTTTTCTACGTGACAGATGCACGTAATAATTTACGTTTTTTGGTTGACACCGGCGCTGCCATCAGTGTACTACCTGTTCGTGATAAAGCACCTCAACAACCTTTTAAGCTCCGCTTACAAGCAGCAAATGGTTCCAGCATTAATACTTACGGTACGATGTCCCTTACCCTAAACACAGGAATGCGACGAGACTTTACCTGGAATTTTACTTTTGCAGACGTCCAGATGCCGATATTAGGTGCCGATTTCCTGGCACACTATGATCTAGCCGTTCGAATGAACAACCATTCCCTAACAGACAACTTAACAAGACTGTGTGTTCTTGGTACTTACTCTAAACTTACCACCACTGGCATCACCTTGGCAACTTGCCACAATAAGGAGTACTTAGACTTATTGAATCAGTAACAGGATCTCCTGCGTCCTGCTGACTCTATTGATTCAACTAAACACCAAACGCAGCACTTTATTAAGACCACTGGTCAACCTGTTTTTGCCCGTCCTCGTCGTTTAGCACCTAATAAATTAAAATTCGCCAAGAAAGCTTTCGACGACATGCTACGAGAGGGTGTTATTCGTCCGTCCGACAGCCCCTACGCTTCCTCTCTTCATGTGGTACCTAAACCAGGAAAGGAAGATTATAGAATTTGCGTGGATTACAGAAGGTTGAATTCCATTACCGTCCGGGATCGCTATCCAATCCCCCATCTCCACGATTTCGCTTCTGGTTTACAAGGCGCGAAGATTTTTACTAAAATAGATCTCGCAAAATCATATTATCAGGTGCCAGTAGCTGCTGCTGATGTCCAAAAAACTGCCGTTACTACACCCTTTGGTTTATTAGAATTTTTGAAAATTTCTTTCGGCCTATGCAACGCAGCACAGACCTTTCAGCGTCTTATGGACGAAGTTCTGCGTGGACTCCCCTTCGTTTTCGATTACATCGACGATATTTTGATAGCTAGTGAGGACGCTGCCTCTCATAAGCGACATCTACACGAAGTTCTTCAACGTTTGTCTCATTACGGATTCTGTCTAAACCTGGACAAATGTGTCTTCGGATCAGACCACATGGAATTTTTAGGACATCATGTCGATGCAAATGGAATTGCTCCTATAACTGAAAAGATTAAAGCTATCACTGAGTTTCCCGTTCCTGTTTCCATTAAACAGTTGAGACGTTTTATAGGGATGATCAACTTCTACCGGAGATTCATTCCCAACTGTTCAAACATTCTGACTCCCCTTACCAACCTATTACAGAAGAAAAATAAAGCTATTACACTGGAGAATAAAGCCTTGGACGCCTTTCGAGCAGCTAAAACCGCTCTAGGCAATTTTCTAAGATCAGTTTCTTAGAGGACGACCCTCAGTCAGATATCTACCTGACCACTGACGCTAGCGAAACCGCAATAGGTGCGGTCATTGAACAAGTCCGTCCTTCTCAACGTAAACCCATAGCGTTCTTTTCCGCTAAACTTTCTCCTGCCCAGTCACGCTACAGTACTTTCTCTCGTGAACTGTTAGCTATATTTCGTGCTGTTAAGCATTTCAGACACCTCCTCGAAGGTAGGTCTTTCGTTATCTTTACGGACCTTTAACGTCCATTATGTCCACCAATTCGGACAGATACACTTCGAGTGAAATCAAATATCTGGACTATATATCTCAATTTACTACTGATATTAGGTACATTAAGGGTTCGGATAACACTGTCGCCAATACCCTATCTCGTACTGAGATGTTCGTCGTGCATACTGATGCACTCAGTCAGGACTTGATCGCTGACGAACAGGAAGCGGACATAACTCTGAAGCATGTGTTATCCGACACTTCTTTGGAACTTCAGAAATGTCCAGCTCCTTTTAGTAACAAGGTCCTATACTGTGATGTTAAATACAACTCCCCAAGACCCTATGTCCCTCCGTCTCTTCGTAGACAGGTTTTTGACCATTTACACGGACTCTCACACCCTAGCAAAAGAGCCACAGTTAAATTGATTTCGGACCGTTTTGTTTGGCCGAATATGAACGTTCAGATTCGCGAATGGGTCAATACATGTTTACAATGTCAGAAGTGTAAAGTGCATAGACACACGAAATCTTCTGTGGGCACCTTCAGTGAGCCTGATGCTCGTTTTACTAATATAAACCTGGAATTAGTTGGGCCTCTACCAACTTGCCAAGGTTGTTCTTACCTTTTAACTATAGTGGATCGTTTTTCCCGATGGCCTACTGCCATCCCTATTAAAGATACCACTGCTGTGACTGTCGCAAAAGCTATTTTACGCGATTGGATTCGACTTTTGGGACTCCTAAAGTGGTTACTACGGACAGAGGAGCACAGTTCCAGTCGTGTCTTTTCAGGGAATTCACTGAACTCCTTGGTGCAAAGCATATACGTACTACAGCGTATCACCCCTGTGCTAACGGTCTAGTGGAACGGTTCCATCGCACCCTTAAGGCTTCGCTATCAACGAAGCATGAGAATAATAATTGGGTCGATGAATTACCCCTCGTCCTTCTCTCGTTAAGAAACATTCTTAAGGATGATTTGAAATGCTCCCCTGCGGTGCTTGTTTTTGGTACTTCGCTATCATTACCCGGCCAATATTTTTCACCAGCTGTGACCCCACCCCCAGTTTCTTCCTCTTTTATTCAAGACTTGCGCCTTAAAATAGCAAACTTATGTTATACACCACCGCGGCACGGCCCGAATGATATATATTTACCGCACCAGCTCCAAAACTGCGAGTTTGTGTTTGTTCGTAACGACGCTGTTAAGCGGCTTCTTACGCCGGCCTACATAGGCCCATACCGCGTTCTTAGACGCGCGGATAAATATTTCCAAATACAAAAAGGTATTCACACCGACAACGTTTCGATAGATCGGTTGAAGCCTGCATTTATAGAGAAACCGTCGTCCCATACTACTTCCCAATCAACTCCGCAAGTTCAGGAGAATTTGAAGACACCTGTTTCTCTCGACAAGCCTATGTCTAAGTATACCAGCTCTGGGCGAAAAGTCACTTTCCCGAAGAAGTTTGAAACCTTTTATTATTATTAGTTAAATGTCTGCCGACATTTAATCCAGGGAGAAGGCTATATGGAATAACACAGTTATCCCATGTACAACATTCTGTGCGCGCGCGCGCGTTCACGGTTTGCACCCCCCTTCCTTTCTCTTTCAGTCAGACATAGCAGTAAGCCATTCTTTTGTTGTTGACTTCAAGCTACCTGCTGCTCCTGATATTATGCAAACTAGAATTTGAAATCTTCCCGCGAAATTTCTTTGACGTCACGGACAAACTGGTTTTTCGAAGTTAGTCGTGGTACAGACACTGAACCAAGCAGTTTGACTCATTTATCCCTCGTCAGTCAACTATAGTACAGACAGGGATATCTTACTGACGAACATATGTTCTTCGTTCCTTTGGCTCGTTGCAAAATAATTTTCTTCAAGACGATGCAATTATCGGCCACCTTTTTCCTCGACTTAAGACTAACTCCTTATAAGAACTTCCTCCTGTTTTCTATCAGGGAAACTTAGTACGTACGTCTTTGTCATCACAACACACTTTGGATGACTAGAATTTTCTCGTCGAGTGACTAACGTCTTGGCCGAACCTGCCTTTTTCATTAACAAGGGAACAGAACTTTTCATATTCGTTGAACTCTAATCTGCTTAGAACCAGTACCTTAAAAATATACATAACATTACTCTCACACTACCAAAAACTCGCTGTGAGTATTTTTCTTTGTTGTATGTATAATATTCTGTGTAAATTGACTTTTCTGGAACCTTCTTCCTCAAGAACTTTTCCCGCCTTAGCCATCTTGCTTTCCGGTTTTGGCGCGGAACATTTTCCTTGATCTCGTACCACGAGATAATCTACTTGTTTTTCCATTTAATAAATAAATAAAAAAATTACACTTGTTTTGAATCCAGTCGTTTTCTGTCATTCTGTGCAGGCTATCTTATTAATATCTTTAATATATGCACGTGTGGACCATAACCACATTCCTTCTCTTTTCGTTCACGCATTTTTTTTTATACATTTCTTGTGGACTCGGTAGTTTAGTTTGGTGTCTGGCACAAGGCCACTTTGTAATAAACCATACTGAAAGATGTTTCCTTTATTAGTGTAGACATATTCTATCTACATATTTTCAATTTGATCCTTTCATATTCACGAATAGGTTTATATAGTGTCATTATTGAAAGACAAGAGTAAATAGCCGTGTTGATACATATTTCTTTTATTCCGAGTACTCTGGACATAGTACAATATCATCACCAGAGTATTGGTTATTGCAAGACAGATATTGTTGTGTTCATTATTGTGTAAGACAAAATTGCTGTGTTCATCCGAAAGATTTAATTTCTTACTTGTGGATTGTAAAACAGAATCAGAGCTTGATCGCTGACACTCTTGGAGGTAACTATGTATGTTTATGGAGTGCATTTTTTAACAAAATAAGTAGAAAAACATTGTTGGTGCAAACTTTGTCATTTCCAACGATCTACTGTACAATTGTAAAACAGTTATGGAGTATCCATAATTAATTTTATTAGGGTTTGGTTTCGATTTTTTAATAATTATAGTTTCGAGAAATTTTACTTTATATATATATATATATATATATATATATATATATATATATATATATATATATATATCACATGATGATCGCAAACAGTATCAGCCTAAATATTGAAAGATATTAGAAATGTAAAACACTGTCAACTTCTGGTTCACTCTCACGCAGGTCACCCTTACGCTCATTCTTCTCTCTCTCCAGACACATATAATTCTCTCTCTCTTTCTCTTTCTCCCTACGTTCTTTTCTCTTTCCCGACACGCATACACTTCTCTCCCCCAAACTACACTCTTCTCACTCTCCGAACGACACCCGTTCTCTCCGAAACACAATATTCTCTCTCTCTCCCCAGGCACACATACTGTTCTCTCTCTCTCACACACACACAAACACACACAACACACACACACACACACACACACACACACACACACAGTATTCTTCTCCGCATTCCTGTTGTAATAAACAATGACAGCATCACAAAAATTGGTGGTTGAAGCCATTGTGAATTTTACACTTCTCTAACGTTACACTATTTGTCTAGTTCAGAGCCATCTTATTCTGAAGCTGCTTTGAGTATCTGTAGACTGACATTGGCTTCATGGGTCTGTGAACTTCTATTGGTGAGTAATCATCTGAACTAAAATATTCTAATACATGTAAATGGAGAACGCTATTTAAGATTGGATTTGGAGAGTGAGTATGTTTGAATATACTTTATGCACGAAAAGTTTTTATTCCGACAAAACTTGTTCCTCTCTATTTTTCTCTACATTTTGCTGACCCGGCGAGGAAAGCATCACTGTTCATCAATCAATCCCATTATACATACATACATATATATATATATATATATATATATATATATATATATATATATATATATATAATACATATATATATATATATATATATATATATATATATATATATATATATATATATATATTATAAATTAATTGATTTAAAATATGTTTTTTCGCTACTCATATTTTAAATCAATTAATTTATAATATTAATGCTCTGTAAATTTACATTGAGCACTATTTTGTAAAAATAATAATATCTATAAGAACACCGGATTATATATCTTATTGTTCTTTTTATATATATATATATATATATATATATATATATATATATACAAGCATTGTATGACGAGTGTTTGTGTTAATAAATAATGCACAATATAATATTGATTTTTTTGCGAGGCTTAGATGCGGCACATGGTCGAAAGCATGGGGCACCCAGTGAGGATCGAACTCCATATTCAGTTCGATCCTCACTGGGTGCCCCATGCTTTCGACCATCATGCGCATCTAAGCTCCCTCGGCGTGGTGTAATGGTTTCGCAAGCTGGTCTTGCTAAAACTGTTACAACCGAATATGGAGTTGTAACAGTTTTAGCAAGACCAGCTTGCTAACCATTACACCACGCCGAGGAGCCCTATGCGCAATGTAATATTATTGGACTATTACGTATTGAATATATATTAATATATATTTACATAGTAACCATCACCAGTAGCAAGACTCGAAGTTTCATGGACAACTTAATCTTTATGTGCTGCGTACATATTGACCATTAGATAATTTAAATTTTAATAAGATATATTTTGGTTATTGCAATGCTATTTCAGTCCATAATTTATACAGGGAATAAAGTGTTTCATTTTAAACATATATGTTGCATTTAAAATAGACTTGATTTATATATATATATATATATATATATATATATATATATATATATATATATTTATATATATTTTAATATTTTTTTATATATATATATATATGTATATATATATATATTTGAATATTTTTATATTAATATATATATATGTATATATATATATATTTGAATATTATTTTATATTAATATATATATATATATATTTTAATATTATTTATATAAATATATATATGAATATTATTTTATATTAAACATAAAGGAAAATTATTGTCTTATTAACTTTAATACTTGCATATATATATATATATATATATATATATTATATATATATTTGAATATTATTTTATATTAATATATATATATATATTTTGAATATAATTTTATATTAATATATATATGAATATTATTTTATATTAAACATAAAGGAAAATTATTGTTTTATTAACTTTATACTTATATATATATATATATATATATATATATATATATATATATATATATATATATTTCATACACGTTTCATAACGTTAAAAAAGAATGAATAAAATAAAATAAATAGACAACACTTGTCTATATTACTTAATGAAATGTGTATAAATGAAAAGATGCTGCCTAAATACACACACAATATATATATATATATATATATATATATATATATATATATATATATATATATATAAATGGATTCATAGATAATTAAGAAATAATAAAAACGGAAAAGTCATATTTTACAAAAAATAATTTATTTTTGTGCCTTCATGTAACTATCAATTAATTTCTCTTGTTTATTAAGTTAAGATTATATAAATGTCTTAAGATAACTAATTTCACTACAATGCAGAAATTACATCTATCACCTTTTCCATTACCTTTAAGTTTTGCTACAATACACCATGTAATAATAGATATACTATCATCATTCCTTAATTGCTAGAAACGTTTTGAGAGATCAGAGTTGTTCAAGTCTATTATCTTACCTAAAGTGATGGTGATAGAAATAAATGGAACAAAAATTAAATTTGACATCTTTACTGGAATATATGCATGCTTGGTGTACATTAGTATCTGTCATACATTGACCGTTTACAGCACAGATGGTATTATTTCGACAGTTGCATTAATTTATAAAAATGTTTACTTTGTTGGACATAATTATTATAATATTGTTATGCTGGGATAACGATGTTTTTAACCCAGCTTAGCTGATCATTATATTATTTTTGTTCAAAATATTCTTTAGTATTGCCGAGAGATTAAATTGATTATGAATAAAATTTAGCAATTTTTTTCCAATCTTTGTTTGAACATTCTGATGAAAATTTAAACCATTTTATATTACAGTGTCTCTTTTTCTAAATATTCTAAATTTTCTTTTTGGTTGCTTAGATCAAATACATATTCAATCTCTGATAATTGGAATATTATACTGCAAGTTTTTTATTGTTTTCATATGCATTCAAAATTAAGTCTGCAAAATAATAAATTACACATGCAACGACGTAAATGGCGAATATATTTTATATGGAGACAAACTAAGTGTATTCATAAAGATTAAACGTAGCTACGACGTAAAATATATATTTAAAATTTGATTTTACTTACGGAATTCATGAATAATGTAATTATGCTTCTATTCATTCATTTGCCTTGGAACAACCAACAAAGAAATGCATTCACTTTATTAAAAAGCAGACAATAGCAATGTGTACATTTTCCATTATTGATTAATCCGTATTTTTTCTTGACACCCTTCCAGGAACTCAAAGAATGTAAACAGTACATTGACAGAAAATGCCCATACTGACTTTGAACTATAAAGGTTATTCCACTGTCAATCCATACAATTGCTATCTATCTATCTATCTATCTATCTATCTATCTATCTATCTATCTATCTATCTATCTGTCTTTTTGTCTATCAAATGGAAAACCGAACTAAATTGTTTTGATTTAATGAGCCATGTGCATTCTAATATCATGTATTGTGTCTTCAATCAAAATAACAATTTTATACAACTACATATTGCGGATGTTCCATAGCTGATATACTCTGCATCATTTATTATACTTAACATGTTGCCTTGTGGCAAATTGAGCTAAGGACGTGCAGCGTGGATGAAGCAAATAAAACATTATTAATGATATGGCAAGCTATCTTGTTAGTCAATGCAATTCATTAAATACTACACTACTTCAAAACATAATATCTATGGATGTTTAATCTTTTTATGATTTCGACGAAAAATATGTAAACTTGATCAAATTATTCTTAAATTTCTGGCAACCTAACAAAGGCCTTAAGAAACTGGATTGAAGAAGGAATTTATTAGTACGGCCCAATGCATAAGGCCGTTGGTTAAATCCAGTGACTAGACCCAAAAGTTGTGGGTTCAATACAAGGCTACAGCAGTGGTGAACCTACACTTGGAGAGTTGAGTCAGAGGGAAATAACTGAGACATCCAGAAGAGGCGTGGCACTAGAACAATCTACCCCGCTGGATGGAATAAAGGGTTAGTTTCAAAATAGTATCACCTGGAGAAGGCCAGAACGTACAACGACGGAAACGTTGTGAATATGGCAGTGAAGATGAGGATAACACTTCGAATAATGTAAATAATGTAAGTAATCATATAACGTGAGTCTCCATCATAAAGTCTCTTTCGTTTTATGTCCAATATAATTATTCATCTATCTTATATGATCAGGAAGACAAAAACATGTAAATGCATAAATAATATTGATTCTCTCTAATTTGGATCTTCCAGGTTAGTTCTTCTAGTTGAGGTTTAGCTGTTTTAAATTTTTGATAATAGATAAATTAATTTTATTGTTTGGGTCGACAAGAATTGTGTATTGCTTTATAATATTTCTAAAGGAAAATTAATACTGCTTATATTTACCGGGTGTATGTTTTTTTTTATAGAAAATGTTAATGTTGTTTTTATTGATCAGTGTTTCTATTGCTTAGATTAGAAAGGGTAAATCTAATGTTGTAATCTGTGAGTAGTTCGGAAAAAAATAACTACCGTCTGTTTCACGCTATTTCGTTCTTTAAGGATAACGGACGAATTCTCGTGCGCTCTCATGAGGTTTATTCTATAACGGCTTTTTTATATCTAATTAAATTTAGGTAGCAAATGTTTATACTTTTCTTTCGTATAATGAATTAATGAATGTGCCATTACGAGAATCTAGAAAAACTTCCAAAAATACGAGTTTATTTTTTGACTAATGTATAGCTAAATTTAGAGGTAGATTTTTACGAATGTAGTTTTCAGATTCGTTTTTTTAACTTCAGCTAAAATAATATTTCATCGACTTAATAGACATCTACTTTAGATTTAGTAACTTTTGTAAAGACCTTGTTTTCAATAATGTCATGATGTAACGGCCTTCCATGAATCAGTCTAGTAGCGTGAAACGTTTACTTGAAAAGGTCATAATTCCTTAGCAAAGATTTCTTCCATAATGTGAGACATGATTTTCTTTTTATACAGTGTTTGTGATTTTACTTTCTTCATCGATGTTACATATATGATAATATTTTACCAAAGAATATATAACAGTTTTATGAATAGTTAATGCAATCTTTGCCCGATAGAATCTTAAAAATTGTAAATATTTTAGGATTTTTCGTTCGATAAGATTCTAGCATATTTGTATTTAAATCCTTATTTGGATAACTCTCGAGATAATGCAGGCAAAATTAATTGAAACGAGAGCGTATCAACTACAGAAGAATAAATTATATATATATATATATATATATATATGTGTGTGTGTGTAATATATATATATATATATATATATATATATATATATATATATATATGAATAAAAATGATGATAGGAAAACTGGTAGTTGCTGACGCGTTTCGTCCAATGTGGACTTTATCAAAGCAAAATACGGAAAAAAATATTGTCTTCTCTACCGGTTAAATCGGAAAAAATTATTATATATATATATATATATATATATATATATATATATATATATATATATATATATATATATATGATATATATATATGTGTGTGTGTGTGTGAAATAGAAATATATAATCTTATTAAGACCCTAATTTATAGGTCGCTTATGATTTGTTCTGATTGCTTTCTCTGCGGTGAAATTGATTCTATTAAGATGACACTTTCTAAAAATGGATATATTTTTGGATATTTTGGAGTCTGTTATCCATGATGTCATCAATAAATTGCATAGGGCTAAGCCGCTTTTTGTTATAAAAAAGTCCAGTTTATTTACATCTTCCCTGTATTGGTTCAGAGGGTGAGTCTTGAGATAGCCGAAATTCGCGTACGATTAATAGCCGTTATTTTTCGGCTAATGTTCTGATGATATTTGTTACTCGTCCTATTTTCTCTTCCATTCATAAGAATGTCCTCCACCCCCATCATATTAATTTAGTGATTTATAAATATAAGTTTAGTTGTGGACTCGACTACAAAGAGAGGACGTCTCGACGTTTGGATTTGAGAATAAAACAACATTTACACCCCAGGATTTTGAATCCGGATGCCGGGGAAAGTCAACTAATTAATACTTCTTGTTCTTCTATTGCAGAACATGTTATAAATAATAGGAATTGTGTCTTTGATTTTAAGGTGGACCGTTTTTTCTATTTTATCGAGGTCCCACTCCGCATATCACCTCAAGGTTCTAGAGTACTTGTATATCAGATTCTGTTTACCGAGGGAATGCTTACTGGGTCTGAATGTTATTGGACTCTAGCTTTCTTGAAATTCATTTATTTTTCCTCCCTAGGTTAACATTAATATCAATTAAATTTACACGTTTATCTTTATATCCCAGAAACAAACTTGATAGGACTGAGATGAAACAGGTTGTTTTTATCTGTGAAAATATATATTAAAACGACATGTAAATTATGCCTATTCTTAGCTATCAATATGTTTTATGTTACAAAAATAATATGTTTTTTTCATTAGTATTTGGTGGATTTTGTTCTTTGTGTTTTTTTTTTATGTTTGTGTTAGTGTGTGTTCGCGCGCACGCGGCGGCGCACTGTCGTCATAAAAATTGTAGTGTTTTTAAGAGATTCTCAACTACAATATTTTCGGAATTATAGATCAAAAATTGGAAATAATACGTTAGAATTTTGCGTTAGAAGTTGATTAGATGGACAAACCAACCATGATATACGAGCGTATTTGAGCTGTTGCATCGTCCTGTTCGCAGATGAGCCCCTTCCAATTTCGAATTTTCACTGTCAATAGCTGTCCTCGTTTAATGATCCATTTGGGAAAACATTGTCTCGCTTCAACGTCCGAGTTTGTGGAAGGATTTTGTAATGCATATCGCCTTAAAATCCCACCAAATACACAGCATTACGCCAGGACAGTTTCATTTCAAATTGCTGTTTAGAAATCATTTGTTGTCAGTGGACCTCATTTGTTTTTAAATAGACTGTTTTTTGTCAGTCTGATATGAGAATTTCTAATATCAATTAGGTCCATTAATTTTTCTTTTCAATTAAATATTAAGACACTCAAACATCTTACCGAATGACATACAGACAAATGTTTTCAAATGCCTCTGAAGTCACATATCCAATAGGCGGATTATCCATGCGACGTCGCATGATTCCACACAACCGGTATTATCTCTAATCAACGGTAGATTTAGTCATCTAGTGAACAATTCTCAATCTTCCAGATTAACATTTAACTTCTGCATCTAAAGAATCACTTACAATTTTCATAAAACTATCGCCATAAATGGCACGCATATTTTGTTCTTAGTACCGCATTTGTTCCTTTCCAAAAAAAGGAACCTTAAGTGGTAAAAATACAACTTCTTCTTTACTGTCCCAAACGAATATATACATATTGTGAATTATTTTATTATGTCAGGTGTGTATTAATAGTGTATATTATATGATGAATTCTACTGTCGATTTACACATATGAGGATCTGACAACCGCATTCATTTTTTTTTTAAGTTGGTGTTGCATGTGACACTTTAGTACGACTAATCTATTTCCCAGAATCGCGGACACTATAATGGTCCTGTACCAATTAACCAAATGCCTGCCCCGAATGTTGTCTCTGCGCAATGTGTCACTATACATATATAGAAAAGTGTGGTAAAAAACAACTCTGTAAACTCGCATTTCGTTGTACAATTTGATATATCTCTCATTTCATAGGCGGTAGCAAATGTGACACTATTTATCTATGCTAATTGGCTAAATAATTAAGCATGGAAATTAAAAACGAGAAATACTTAAGACGAGAAAGAGCTATAACGAAAGACATACAGAGCGACATTATTTTATTTTTTAACAAAAGAAAAATGGGTAAAGATTTTATTTTCATTTACGAAGAAAGATATTTATTTTTTGCAGAAGACCGAAAATTCGTAAGAGAAGTGGGTTTCGGATTCTGTCAGAATTAATTAATATCATGACGCGACAAGGAAAACAGAATTCTAAAAGATAAACAAAATTGTGCCAAGCATGAGACCGGGAACGTGTGTGAAGGTGTGCATGGTCAGAAATGCCTCAGTTGGTATAAAAGTTACTTGTGATATTGATGTCCCTTAAGTCTTTCTTCTTCGTGATGAGATAATCGATATGATGCCAGTATTTCGATCATATATTCATCGACGATATCTTGCGGTAATTCGGTTGCTGAAAGTAGGTGTTGGAGTACAAGAGTGTATTCTCTGAAAAATAGAAAGTCATGCAGGCTGTCTATGTTCAAGCGTCCAAATCATGATGATCCAGAACACCATCCCATACCTGGTGATCGTTACTCAACCGAGCATGGAAATCGTCCATTAGAATAAGTCTATTTCTTTGTTAGTGGGAGATCGCATTACGGTAGTTATATAAGTCAGCTTTTTTCTTGTGGGTGCATAGCATGTGATAAGCGTAGCATTTATGGTGTGATAGAGTGTCGTGATACTCTCCGGTAGACCTCTTGGAAGGGAGCTCAGTTTTTTGGAACATAAGATCGGATTGCAAAGCTAGAAGCTGTAGTTTTTCAACTCAAGAGAAACAAATGCTGTTTGTCGCTCTGGTGCCGAAACACTGAATTAGAGCGTGCGTATATTCCAAGAGTCAAGGTTTAAATTATTAAATTTCTTCTTGTCCGGACAGCAATACTGAATAACCAGACAGCTGCAGCTGATAGCTAGGTTGAGATTGTGAGCAAGCAATATTTAGGGCTCCTTTTCTCGCCTCCTAACCCGGATTGGTGAAAGAAGAGCTGTTTCTGAATAGACCTGCTTTGTCACCATAGGAGGACATGAATACGACAATTGCTCACATGTTTTTTGCTAGAATGGCCATCACCTAGTTATCGACACCGTGTCGAGGTCCAGTTATATCATTTAACCCCAAACTCCGCAATTATTCTCTCGCGAGAGGAAGTGATGCAAGTAAAAATATTCAAATTCTGGATGCCATTTATATGGGAGACTTTCGGCCAAGAAAATAAATGAAGTCAACTAATTGTATAGCAACAAAGTTCTTAAATGTTTGGAGCAGCAAAGTGCTATATAAAAGTACTAAATTTAGATAGTAATTAATTAAAAAAAAACTAAGTTTTTTAAAAATCCTTTTTAAAAAATCCCATAAGTTACCTCCCTTGGATAGAGATAAAAACAATATTTTGAATTCAAGTTTTTAGCGAATAACACATCCACAGATATGCAACCCTTAAAGATGGTGTCAGATGAGATTGAAAGTATTTTGGATAAATAATAATTATATGAAAGAAAATATTGTAATTTTGCTTAACCAATTTTCTACAGCTACTTAATTCGTGAACTTGATAATATTAAAACGAATATATATATATATAAATATATATATATATATATATATATAATTATTTATTTAAAAATATGATTCCAACTCGCGACATAAGAGGTCTCATGTTTCAAAACAAGAGCCGAAAACTACAATATAATTATTTGAATTAAATTGAGTTAAAGTAAGCTCTGTTCCATCTTCAAGCGAAATTTTTTTTGGAATAACTTATTTCTGAAATTTACGTGTTTTAATAATTGAAATCATAATTTCCATGGTAACAGCTAGGGCGAATTGTTTAAATTGGGTAGGCGTGTGTTGGGTGTTAATAATAAGTATCAGTATATGGTTACTTTCATAGATGTCAAGTCAGGGTAAGGTGGGGGTGTCTAAATTTGAAACGGAGGATGTTTTAGCCTAGTCTGGTTTACGTGTCTATGGAGATTTATATATTTTTTTATTTTATTTATTTATGAAAGGGATTTGTGCATATAAAAAAAAACAAAAAAAAAAACAACCGATGTGACATTTGTTTTTTGCCGACTTCATAAAGGGTTATTTTTTTGTAGGGTATTTAAACTATTTATTTGTGCTATGGATTATAAAAGTTATCATAATTTATGCTTGTTTTTAGCTAATTATTCAAACCATGAATTTGATGATGTCGACAAAAAACCATTAATTCATGTCTATTGTTTCATAGATTATTATTATTTAGAAACTTAATAATGTGCAGTTTCTCAAGGAGGCACAAAGGGCATGGGTCATCCCAAGTTTTACATGTTCTAGCCTTGTTTATAATTTTCCATTTTACTTTTGGTGTCTTATTTATTTCGTTCAGATGCCAAAAATATTTAGATAGTGAAGTCTGATTTCATTTAATTGAAAGAGCACTTATGCTGCCTCCATCTAGCTTTAAAATCATTCTTTGTGGACCCAATGTATATCATATTATGAGACCTCTTATGTCGCGAGTTGGAATCATATTTTTAAATAAATAATTATATTTATGCTCTACTTTTGTATCGAGCACTATTTTTTTTTAAATAATAACCAAATACTAAGGAAATTTGGATTATTTACCTAATCAGTTCTTTCCTATTTCCTATATATTTTTACACACACACACATACATACATATATACACACACACACATATATATATATATATATATATATATATATATATATATATATATATATATATATATATATATGAGCGTGCGTAACACACAAACACGAACGCATATATAACACACAAGTACATTGAGAGATAGGGCACCTCGGTGGTGTAATATTTAGCAAACTTGTCTCGCTAAAACCGTTACGACTGATCCTCACTTTTTGCCCCTTACTTTCGTCCTTATGCCGCATCTAAGCAACGCTTAGAAAATAAATATGGCGAGAGATAGAATTTCTAAATTTTGCAGAAACTGAGACACTTCTTTTCTTTTAGATGCTCTTGAGTTTTGTGTTAGAACGAATCATTTGATTTAATATTACTTTTAGGTCATCGCACAACGATGTGAACATTCTGTCTTTTGATATATTTTCTTTAATGACCCTAATGATGCGTGTTCAAAGATAAATGTGAGCTTGAGTGATTTCGGTCTCTAAGCGATTGCTTGATATAAGGCTAAAATTTAGGAAGATAAAATGGTTTGCCATTTTTGTTTGTTCGGAACGATCTTATTTAGTCAGCCGGAAGTTAATCAATTCTTCTTGAATATTTCATTTTACCATCAGTTTTCCAATGTCAGATGAAAATCTATTGGTTGTCATCATCTTCAATTTATCATTATATATATATATATATATATATATATATATATATATATATATATATATATATATATATATATATAGTTCACTCTAGCAATCTTTTCTTTTCCTACCTAACATAATCAGATCGCACTTTCTGTTGCTCACGGTATCTTCCCATTACACGCTTCAGTGCCTTTACCAGCTTATTCCCCTCTAACTCCTTTCCCCTTTATTCCCATTGCTCTCCCTCTATACCACTTTATCCCTCTCTTTCTCACACACTCTATCTAGCGAGTTATCCCCCTAACTCTCTCGGGTTGAATCCCCTCTCGCTCTCGCTCTCTAGCGTTTTATATCCCTCTCTCTCTCTCTCTCTCTCTCTCTCTCTCTCTCTCTCTCTCTCTCTCTGTAGTGCTTTATTTCCCCTTTCTCTTTATAGCGCATCATCTCCTTCGCTTTCACTATCTCTAGTGCTTTATTGCCCCTTTCTCTCTAGCAATATTGTTCTCCTGGCGTTCTCGCGTTTTATTCCCCCACTTTCCCTCGGACTTTATCCCACCTCCTCTCTCTATATAGCACTTTAGAGAGGCAACTTCCGGTTTATGTAATTTCCTTCATTATGGCATTTGAGTCTCAGATTCTCCAAGCTCTTCTTCCTTATTTTTTGTGTGACTATTATGGGTTATCATTTATAGTGCATGGGTGTTGAAACAGATTAGTTTGATTTGGCCCTGTTAGTTACATAGCCCGCCATAGGAGGAGTATAAAACAAGAAAATCAAATTGTAAAGTGAAATAACAAATTTATATATATATATATATATATATATATATATATATATATATATATATATATATATATATATATAAAAATTCAATTTAGGTCATTACAAATAAAATTAATGTATTTTGGTTAATACAAATGTCGTCAAAATGTTCGTAGTATTCTTTGCAAAATAAATTTATGTGTACGTAGTCAGGAACGCATATATGTATGTATATATGTATGTATAAGCGATATCGTATGGTATGAATGTCTTTGAAGTAATCGCACAGTCTTAAAAATGTTCCGTTCGTTTATCCGGTATAAAGGAGGTGAGAGAGAAAGGTAGATACAATAATAACGATCGCTTGACGTTGTAAAGGTGCGTGTTAATACGCTCGTTTCCTTTTCTCTATTGACAGACGAAGTTGTCCGTCTTTTATTTTGTTTGCGTGGTTTGAAAAGGTCATTTGCGAATTCACTCCCGGATATGATTCGGGCCTTTCCATTATACGACTAACAAACTTTGCGTCGGCTCGCGAAAAGGTCCGCAAAAGAATTTGTTTCTGAGAATTGAAGGTTATTTGAATTTCGTACTTAAATGTTTCCTAATTTTCTATTGGCCGAAAAATATTTTGTTTTGTTTTGGATTTGCTTTTCCGTGTGTGTTAAGCAAAGTTTGTAAGTTCGAGTCTTTTTAATTTCTAACAAAATCAATGGATCCGTGCTTAGCATTGGAATTTTCTAGTCTAGATCTTGTTTTGTACACTACATGTCCTTACGCTTGACTGAACACTGGCTGAGATTAGAACAATCTCACCTTCTCAAATGTCTGCACTTGTGACTTGTTAATTCTCATGGTATATGACAAAAGGATAAGAAAGAAGGTTCCCTCAAGTTGAATGCCAAGTTAGAGTAGCTTGAAGTTAGCTTTATTCTGTGGATGATGACAAGTCTGCCTGTTATTGAGCCGCTAATAAAGGAAGCCTCATTCAATGTTGATGTATGGCCAACACCCCAAATCTTGTATCATTGCAGAGACCATTTTGTATAGTAATGTTATGTTGAAACATTATTATTGAGCCAGGTTTTAAACTCAGTTTATGAGGAGGTATTCCTGATGATGTCAAAGAGTTTAAAAATTCAAGTGCATAGCGCTTTGCATAGCAGGATCATCTGTCAAAATCATCTGTCAAAAGGTGCTATATCTGTACAAAGAAAGAATTATCTAATCCTTCTCTCTTTCTCAGATGTATTGTTAACGATATCATCCACCAGAGAGCCGTTAATGCATGAACTCTGGGGTACTTCTATGGCATCAACAGCAAAATTAGTATCTTGTGAAGCTGTCAAATTCCTTTTTATCTGCTTAGTCTCTATTGGATGAAAATCAGCTATAGTGGAGAAGTTTTAATACAGATTTCAATGATTGCCTCACGATTTTCTCTTGGCAATATGGATAGAACCTACGTAAAATTTTCCCCCAATAGCACAACATTACAATCATACTCAGCATGCTTTATCAATAGCATGAAGAGCAAATGAAGGGATCATAGAAGCCTCATCCAAGATGATCAAATCCTGGTTTTGTAAATAATTTGCATGGTCTGAAGTGGCTGGTACATTGCAAACGCTAACCTCCATGAGTGGGAGAAGAAATTTCAACAAACTATGTATAGTTATTCCACCTGTGGGTAGTGTAGAAGCAATACCTGTACAAGCACCACTGCACATGTTGCTGTTGTTTCTTCTCAGAAAAGAAATCATGGTTTTAAAATTAAGATTTTGATTTCAACCTCCTGGTGCATCTACACAGAAACAGGAGTGGTTGGGCATCTCAACTCTTCTCCTCTTATCTACCAATTCAAGCACACCTTTATCAACTAGTCTGTTCATCAGTAAGCGTTGCGATGCCTCGGTGATCGAAGTTTTCATAATGTTCAAGCTGCGACTTGAATAAATTCAGCCAGCCCAGTTGCTAAATCATTAATATCATCATCTATCAGAAAGGAATCAGTTGAGTGTAGCTCCATGTTTTCTCCGTGGTCTACATTAAAACATTGGTACGAGGTACTTTCGATCATGCATTCCTTGGCCTACAGTGGAATAGCATTTCCAAGGTTCATATACGTGCACAAAGCAGCAAACATAACACGCAACTGTAAGGGCATCTGACAGGCAGCATCGTCTAGAAATGTATATTCCTATTGTTTGAAAGAAGGCCATATCTCAGTCATGCTGACTTAAATGTTGGCAAAACTTCTCTTTCTACTGTGTAAAAATCCTGGAAGCTCACGATGCCTGAAATATGCAGCAGCAACATTCGCAGGTGATTTACTTTTCTGTCTCTAGGGCCCATTTTATATATTCTACTGATGATAACAACATAGTTGCAATATGAGCTCTGGTAAAAAACATGCAATGATAACAGCAAAATTGCAATATGAGCACAGGTAAAAATGGTTGCTGAAGACATTAGGTTTATAATACCCAGAAATTCATACCCAGATAGCACAGTGGCACAGTGGATAAAGGCGTTGGTTAGATGCAGTGACAGGACCCAAAGAGTGTGAGTTCAATACCCGGTTAAGGCAGTGGAGAACTTTTAGAGAGAAATGAACAGGAGATAACTGATAACTGACATCCATCAAACATGGCACGTGGAACTAGAATAGTCTACCCCAGTGAGCGAAATAAATGGTTCAGTTCGCCATTCCAACCACCTGAAGGAGGCCAGAGCGTACAACGGCCGAAACGTTGTGAAAAATATGACGACAAAGATGAGGACAATAGTCCGAATAATGTAAATAATCTACTGATGATATTAGTATTCCTTGGCCTTGGGGTTCATATTCTAGTGTGCTTATTAAACAAATAATTCAGCGGAATATCAGGGTAGAATTGGTTCCTTGTATCATCATGGTGATCATTCAGTTTAAATAATGAAGTCAGGGTAGTTCCACGGTTCGTCTGTGCGTGAGCAGCTTGCTGAGTGTTAAAGTAAACTCTTTGCTTGTCTTCAAGATGTACAAGAAGTCTGTAGACATTGAGATGTGTCATATAGCTTGATCTCTGACAGTCTTCACATAGCTTCCAGTGGAGAAAAATATCGGCAACATGACAATTAGTAATATTCATTGTGAACTTGATTCTGCTCACGATCTGCTGTTGGATTGTCTCTTACTTCAAAAGAAGCACAGCCATGCCCCCTGCACACGTACTTGAAGATATATTTAATTCTTTTAACTGATGAACAAATTTTTAAAAGACGCTGTGAAACACAGAAATTAAATAAAAGAATTCCAGTCCTAAAACATTGAATGAGTTTTCTCAGTAAGGGGAAAATAACCCTGAAATCACTTGATCTTTAAAATACGCTAATGCCATTTAGAGGCTACCACAATTGTTTTTTTTCTGTGGCCATGTTAGTTTTTCGAAATTACATAAGATTAAGTAATATGTAAAAAAAATATGATGTAAAAAATATGCTTACAAGAATTTTCATTCATTTCCGAATAAGTGCTGAAAGATACTGATTTCAAATGCGAATAAAACCATTGGATTTAAAATGAAATTCGAGTTTATCTTTCAAAGGTTTCAAAACAACTCTAACAAAAATACTAATCATATAGTAAATTAAAAAAAGTAAATTAAAAAGTAAAAATTAAAAAAAGTAAATTAAAAAGTAAAAAGGCCTTTTTTTATGAAATAGGACTTAAATATGAAAATAATTTAACAGTAAATTGCAAAATGGCATGCAAATTAAAAATAAGAATTTCAAATAGGAATTTAATAAGAATGATAAGTTAAAGTGAAGATTATTTTTCAAGAATTAGGTTCTAATTAGGTAAATGAAACTAAAAAACAGAAAGTGGGTTGTAAAATATGTAAAAAATAGGGTAACTAGAAATATTTGAAAAACAAACAACGCAAAAATAATTTCCTTCATTTCCGAATAATTCCTGAAAGTTTCATTAAAATTCGACAATTACTTGACTCTTGCAAGAATTTCTAAGACAGTATGTTTTTTTTACCTGAAAAATAGTCGCAAAAACTCTAATGTAAATATTAACCGGGTCGCCTGCAGAAAAATATCAAGATTTTACCAAAATTTCGGAGGTGCTAGAAAGGGCAAAAATTTAATAAAATAATGAAAAATTATTTGAATTTACCTCTTAATAACAAATATTTTGACGTTAAAATATTGTTTTTTTTTTTAAGTCTGGGGCCTTATTCATCGTGCCATGTTGTTTTTAGGTGAAATAGTGGAGGTACATACACAAAAGATTATATATATATATATATATATATATATATATATATATATATATATATATATATATATTGTCGACTGTCCCGTCGAATTCGACGTATGAGGGTCAAGCAGATCAGTTCCTAGGAAACCGACACCCCCGACAACAGGACATGAGATTATAGTGGTGAAGGTTTTGCGGGACCATCCACACTTTTTGAAGGTCCGATTACAGAGACCCAGTGCACTACGTGCCACAATGTCCCCAAACGACCCTCCGCAGGTTTTGAATTCAGAGTTTTCCTTCTCCTAGACCAGTTGCCATCCAAGGCTATAGAACCCAGTTTATCCTGCTATTTTACCCATAGCAGGAGGGAGAATAAGAGGATTCATACCTTTCCCAAAGGTGTTAGCACGTAAGTGAATGTAAAGGATTCGACTGGAATTCGTGAATTCGTAAGTGAATATAATGGGTTCGACTGGAATATATATATATATATATATATATATATATATATATATATATATATATATATATATATATGAAGACATATAGTCTTAAGGTGTGCT